GCTAGGGTAGACGGGGGGGCCATCCAACTCACTGAGAGAGAGCAAGGCCTGTTGCGTGCTCTATAAACATATGTTTACGTTGAGCTCAGATTGCTGACCATAAGCCCTAAATTTGTTTTGTTTTTAGAGCGAGCAGTAGATGTTCACAGTAGAAGACCTCTTTTTTTGGGTTCACATTGGGACGTTGCTCTTTTGTCATTGTATCAAATCCAAAAAAGCCCCTGCCTTTTGTTTAACAGACACACCCATGTTAGATTGATATCAGGGGGTGCAGAGACAAATTCCTCTTGATGTTTTGAGCCACAGAGGATGTTCTTTGTAAAACGTGTTATGTGGGATGCACAGGGCCGAGGTCTGATTCTGTGGTTGGAACAATCACAAAAGAACATCTTTTTTGAGTGCAACAAATAAATTAGCATTAGCATAGTAAATGCGAAGACTCTTGTTTCAAACATATGCCAATTTTGTATTTTCAGTCTGAGGGGATATTTGCAAACTCTTGAGCCAGGGACTTTTTATTCTGAGGGATAATTCTGAATCTGAATGAACAATTAGACTTGTTTGCAGAAGTGCGGCATCTTGGTGTGCTCTTAAGAGATAAACCAAGGTTGTCTGTCTTCCTCTGAGAAATTGGGCAGAGCTTTAACAAAGCATTGCTTCACCTCCCACAAATCCCTGAGCTGTCTGGCTGCACCTTAATAAAGTCCAAAGTGAAGAGAGGTGGGTCACGATGTTCATCAGCAGCCAGCCTGCTTGTGCTTTAATTAAAGTCTGTACAGAAAAGCCCACCCTCCTCCTGAAGACTTCTTTGTTTAGTCATTACACTATGTACAATGCCTATTCTTTGTACATAGAAATTAGAACATTATTATTACTGTTATTGTTTTTGTTGTTTTCTTTTCGTTTTGAATGTAATGTGTTTTATGTAACATAATAAACTCTATATCTGCTAATGTACACCTCTACTAAAGCTATATCCAAACCTGGGACATGTCTTTTTCCAGAATTCAGTCTTAGAAATTGGTTGCATTTTCTGCAAGTAATCCAAGTGATCCCGTATACATTCAGTGGACTCTCGGATGGCCAGTGCATTGTTCTGAGAACACCAGCAGCTTCTTTTTTTGCTTTGCAAATGTTATTTTTTTGTCATATTTCCTTTCCTCAGTAATGAATCTCTGTGAAGTACTGTTTATCTGATGAGGTCAGATTGGTGTTCTAGCAGATCTTGCACATTCATTAGGAGTCGGATGTTTTCTGTATCTTTTAATCATTTTTTTGACTTTGGTTTTTGGTTTTGTTTTTTTCCTTCATCTTTCCCCTTTTCTTTACGAGCGGAGTATTTTCTAATCTCCTCAGAAATCAGGGCTCTGGGGTGGCCAGTGCATTGTTCTGAGAACACTGGCAGTTTCGTTATTTGGCTTCTTGACAGCTACACATTCTTTCAGACCCATACCTTTGAGTTGTCTTCTCACAGTGGAAGAATGGCCAGAGACACTTCTGGTCATTTTCAGATCTGAAGCAAGAGTGGAGCTTGATTTTTCTCCTCTTAAACATAAAAGCTTTAGTTACTGTTTTTTATGGTGGTATTTAATAGCCATTTGGAAATTAAGTGAATGAAGTGTGGTCTCTGGTATTTGCACAGTTCTGTATTTCTGCTTTAAGATGGCCATGGTCTGTAGATCTTTCTACATGATGTGGCCAAAAGTATGTGGACACCTGATCATCGCACAAATATGAGGTTGTTGCGCGTCCCATTTCAAAACCATGGGCGTTAATATGGAGTTGGCCCACCTTTGTGGCTATAACAGCTTGCATTATTATAAGAAAACGTTCCACAAGATTTTGGAGTATGTCTGAGGGAATGTGACAATGTCACCCTCTCTATGAACTAGTAAAGAGGGAAAAATGCTACACAGTTGTTATTAAATTTAGTTTTATTTAGCTATCATCCTATTATTATGCATTTGGTTATATATAAGTGGCAGCAGCACACTAACAGTTCTTGACTGAGCAACCCTTAAATATAGATGGTGAGCCCAATGTTTTGACCTTTGAAAGGCTTAAACTGAGTGATTATTATTATTATTATTATTATTATTATTATTATTATTATGCTTTTTTTTGGCTCACTTTGTCTTGGACTCTGTCTTACTATTATTATCAGCTCAGTAAAACCTTGAGGCTTCTCATTATCACTCAGTCCTTGCTTTTTATAGTCAAACCCTTAACTCATTTTGTGGAGTTTATTACTGCTTCAGGCAGATCTGTCACAGGGAATTTGTACCCATTCAGTCAAATGAGCATTAGTGAGGTCAGGCACTGATATTGGACAAGAAGGCCTGGCTTGCAGTTGATGTTTCAGTTAATCGAGTTTGGAACTTCAACAGAGGATACACGATTTTTACATGCATCAGCTCTCAGCAGCCCCTCTCTGTGAGTTTGTGTGGTCTGTTACTTTGAAGCTGAGCAGTTGTTGCTCCTAGATGCATCTATTCTGCAATAATAGCTCTTACTGTTGACCAGGGCAGATCTAGCAGGACAGAAAATTCACAAACTGGCTTGTGTTATCGGCACATTTAAAGAGCTCTTCTGTACAACCCACTCTACTGCAGTGTTTGGCTTTGGGGATTGCAGGGCTATGTGCTTGATTGTTTTTACTTGTTAGCAATGGGTGTGTCTGAAACATCTGAACTCAATAATTAGAAATGTCCACATTCTTTTGGCCATATAGTGTAATACACAATACAGAATACATTTAACAACAGAATAAGCCCAGCCGTGACTGGGCTGCCGCAATCCGGCCCAGCCCTGCAGCCTTCAGGTGGGCTCTATAGAGTTAGCGTATCCTTGGCACTAACTACAGAATGAGCATTAGAGACAGCCTACAGGGCACTTAAGCCATGTTTCCACTGACCGAAAGGTGCCTGCTGTTTGTGAAGCTGATGACTTAAGGCTGGTCAGGTAAACAGCAAGAGAGATCCGCTTGGCTGGCCAGTTGTCCTCACTGAATCCATCTTTTGAGTCTTAATGCTTCAGTATGAAGCACATTGGCAGACGTTTGGTTTTCTTTTCCTTTTCAAGATGGTGCCTGGCTTTTAAAAGCATGTTTGAAGGTCTTTTGTAACAAACTTTTCTCCTCAGATGACTCATGGTTCAGTTTTTGCAGAGAAGAAGAGTGCACGGTAGCTAATTCAATGTCTCCAGAATCAAAGGACTGATTTTTTTAGATACCTGGGCTGGACCTGTGGGCCGATGGCTTTGACTTTAAAAAAAAGTTAACTTTGAAGGAGATGCTGTACCTTCCCGCTGAGTTATCATGCTGTGGAGACGGCTCTATTTCTCCTAATCGTACAGAGCCCCTGTCTGCTCCTCGCTAAGGTTATCAAGTGCTTTGAAACGATAAAGATGGTCTACTGGTTAACTTTTAATTAAGGTTATTTTGGGATAAAAGTGAATCAAATTGAGTGTTGGACCTGTCAGCTCGCTGGTGCGTTTTGTACTCCCATCAGAGGAGATGAATGGGGAGGTTTGTGTATGGACATGCCCTCCCCTTAGGTTGAATGAAATGCTTGTATTGATAGCTCTCTGTTCCAGACCTCATTCCAAACCTCGTGAGAGGCTGACATTGTTTTCTGATCAGATCTGAAGCTACTTTGTTTCCACAGTTTTATCTATTGTTCTCACAGGAACATTTTGGAGCTTTCATGCTGCTCCTATGAATAATCATCTGTTTGGAGCCTTGAACCCGGGAAAAAGGGTCTTTTGTGTGTTTTAAGGGGGAGGGGGAAGGTAATGAGTGTCACCAGTGGAGGGGCTCACAAAACAATGCAAAAGCATCTCTACGAAGAAGTGTGCCACCCTCACAGTTACATAAGTGAGCAGGTTATGATGCGCTGGCTGCATGCCTGTGAAATGACTCTGAACTGAATGCATGTGGGTTGCACATCTCTTCCACGGACTCAGTTGTTAGCATAGCAGCAGTGGCACTTCTGAAAGCAGCCTAAATTATATAGCTCGTCAGTGGAAACATCCACAGGGTTGGGGCTGTCAGTGGAGCATGCTCTCTCTCTCTCCAAAACATTAGGCCTGTGCTGATGTTCTGCAGAAACATCGTCTATTATCAGCCCTCTCTCTGAAACCAGAGGAAAAAAAAGAGAAGTCAGGAAAAACTAACAAACACACGAATTGGGCTCCAACTTTTCCTTAAAGGAGAATTCTACAGATTTTTCAAAACACCTGCATAATTCAATCATCATTTTAAAATTCATTCATATGGGTTTGATGGGAAATGCACCATTCTAGAGTGATTTGCTGAGAACAAATGTGACAAACTTAAAATCTGACTTTTTTCAGATCAGTTAATTTGGCTGTGAAGAAATCATAATTTAGAATATTTGCCTAAATCACATACATCATAGAGGCACATGCAAGGTGTTGCAAGGAATAATAGTACCCAAAGAAAACACTTTAAAGTAAAAAAGAAAAAGCATTCTCTGATGCACTTCACATCAAACCACTCTGAATGACTTTTTCTGCCTCTCTGAGTCATCGGTGGAATTCCCCTTAAATTCACTTCAGCTGAAATGTTTGGACACTGAAATGTTTATATGTGGTTAAACCTTTAGGGAGAACGGGTCAAATGTAGCTTTTATCTAATCCTTCAGGCAGATAATATCCTGTCTGTCCAATATCAAATAAACACACCTCTCCTAAAGTGGATATTCAGGTCATTTTCACTGTTTGGCCAGTGAATCTTGGTTTTAAACCTGTTTAGTGCTGTCTGTTCCTTCAGTTACTTCTGCTTACCTCTTAAGAGCAATCCAGTCTTTTAAAAATCTTGGTGCTCATTACAAAGATTTCAAACAGGATTCTGAACACTTAAGACATTCTTCATTTTCTGTCCAGAATCTCTTAACTTGTGGTTCTTCTGTTCTGTGTGTGTGTGTGTGTGTGTGTGTGTGTGTGTGTGTGTGTGTGTGTGTGTGTGTGTGTTTGCTCAGGTAACAGCATCCTGCACTCTGCAGCAGACAGTGTTACCAGTGCTGTGCAGAAGGCCAGTCAGGCTCTGAATGAGCGTGGAGAGAGACTGGGCCGCGTGGAGGAAAAAACTGGAGATATGATGAACAGCGCGCAGCAGTTTGCTGATACTGCACACAAGGTATGGCACACTGCTCACAATGTACACAGCATTGAGCCCTTAAAGGCCCCATATCCAAGATATTTCTTAGAGTTTTATTTTTTTCCCCAGATGTTCACTTATGATATTTTTGTGCTTTTATCTACCAGAAACAGTCCTTCATTTTTACATGACCATTTAGCATCCACTCTTGATCTTTTTAAACAGACTGTTTTTGTGCTGTGCTTTTAATGCCCTTTTCACACTCAGATCCTGGGCTATTATCGAGATACTTTTAATGCTATTTTTCAGGCTCTGCGTCTTTCACACATGCAGCCTTTAAACATCTTTATAATTGCCATGAACGTTCTGTTAAACAGGATGTGACATCTTCAGCATGAAAGGCCTAAAGCTCCTTCATTTCTGAATAATGTACAAAGTACCCCACAACATTTTATCTTGCGAAACTGAAAAACTTAAATGTGAAAAAACTAAAATATCACACCAGTGATTTAGTTTGTAAGCCATGCTGTTTTGCTTTTGCAGGGTGGATTTTTACAGCTTTCCTCTAGAATTCTTTACAAAATATACACTTACAGCATTTCACTCACAAAATGAAATGGAAAAAACTCAAATATAAAAACAGAAGTGTTACAGAACTGTAACTGTACAGTTACTGGCTGTAATCTATACGTCTTTGTATTTCCATGTAATTGATTGTCATTTGTTCACACATGAGCCCTCTTGGTAATTTCCTAGGTATTGTACTAGGCCTCATGCAATTCAAAAAATGGATAAATCAACCTTACTGGGGTTTACACTGTGGCTTGCTTTCACACTTAATCTCTTCCCATTTCATTATCAATATTCCCATGTGAAAGTGTGCATACAAAAAAAAGGGCTTAAGAGTAGATGTCCACTATATGGCCAAAAGTTTGTAGACATCTGCTCATACAATATTTCTTTTGAACTCAAGCATATAAATAGGGTCTTTGTCATTCATTTGCTGCAGAAGCTGGGAAGGCTTTCCACTAGATGTTAAAACATTGCTGTGAGGATTCAATTGCATTCAGCAGCAATGGCAGTACAGATGCCAGGTACTGATGTTGGATGATTAGTTCTAGATCATGAACACAACTCAACTCACCCCAAAAGTATTGAATGAAGCTCCATCACTTCAGAGAATGACATTCTACCGCTCCACAGCCCAAAGCTTGGGGACTTTATACCCCTCGAGCTGACATTTGGCATTGGGCACGTCAACCTCAGGCTCTCAGGCTCATGTGTGGCTGCTCTAGTACATCCCATTCCATTGGCAATGCTTTTTCTTATGGACATTATAAATACTATGTGTGGAATTCCATGCCATGTTTGTGTCTCTTTTATTTAAAGAAAATGAGAGACATTTGGTGTAGGATAGGTCCTTCACCAAGCATTTGTATGTACCTGGCACTCCTACCTATCACAAATTGATCTACCAACTTCCATGATGGTGTAAAACTGTCAAAGCTTTTTATTGGCAATAACACAATAACAAAATAACTTCACTCATCTGAAACAAATGGAGAAGGAAATGGAAGGAAAATGAGGTCACAGGTCTCTAGAGAGCCCATGTGTGGGTTTAAGAGCTAAGCAGGATTACCTGAGAGCACACCTTTCAATGAAAGTATATGGCTGACATAAATACTCTGCAGCCACTTTGCTGAGTGAAGACGTTATTTTGACCTTGCCAGACTTTATTAAACACTCAGTTTCTTCAGCAGACTTTGATTATTCCCCATCCTCTCACCAGAGGGCCATGCTTGCTTTAAAAGCCCTCCCAAGTCACACATTTCTCTCATTGATGCGTACCCATCCATACTAATTGCATATCAGCAAAAGCACATTAGCTTAATTTGGTTTTGCACATCTAATGGGATTAAATGTTCTACTGCCAACACTGTCAATGCATGTTTCATCCATTTACAACTTCTAATAACGTTCTGCCTCCTCCTTTGGGCTTCTTTTTTGAAATAGTGTTTTCTTACCTGCCGTTCTTTCATTAAAAAGGACATGCTTGGAGAACTGATATTCGCCACAGCAGGGCAGCTAATTAATGTGTTTAGAAATCTGTTCATATTCATGCGTTTTATGAAAAAAGGCCACATAAATGAAAAGCAGGTTTGCTTTAAAGTGCTGTAAGTGAAGAGTATTTTTGTGAACTCACTTGCTACTGCTGTTTCCACATATGGACCCTACTGAGTGAAGCTGAAAGGGTAGGAGTGCGAGAGACCGATTTTTCTAATAAAATAAGAAGGCTCATAAAACACCTGTATGGGTGTCCTCAGATTAATTTTTTTTCCATTCCTCTCCCGCTGTTTGCTTCACAATGTCTGATTCTATTTCATGAGCTGCATTGCTTCCAATTTTCTGCAATTATATTCATACCAAATCTAAGTGAATCTGACTAAACCTTACTTTAATTTCAAGCAGGCCAATTCTACTGTGACCTTCTTAAGCATTAACTTGAATTCATATAGTTTGTCATCCAACGTTTGATAATATACCTATATATCTAGTTAGCGTAGTTTGTTCACTTAAGTTAAATCTGAAGAAGCATTTTGATTCTCCTTAATCATTATAAGCTGTGTTTAATATCCAGAACATGGGTCATTTATCATTGACAATGTAGAACCATTGTCCTGTCAGGCATGTACTCTCTCGTCCAGTTGAGGTGAATGCAGAGACTGATTAGTGTGTGTTTGTGTTGCTTTGCTGCCCCCTGTTGTTCGCTGTATGTAGTGTAGCTGAATGGAGTGCGGTCTGTCCAGCTGTGAATGAGATTGGTGTTTCTGCCCTTTCCATAATGAGCTTCCCACTGCGGCTGTTAGAGCTCCCATTAATGAGATTAATGAACTCACAGATGAATGAGTACTGAGGGGAGCGGTATTTCTCCAGAGATTTTGTAAAGCACTTGATAAATACATGTGGAACATTCCAGACCTCCTGAACACTGACAGGATTTTTTTATGCTGGTTCTGAATTGACCAATCCATGCTCAACATTCTTTTGTAGCAGAACATGACATAGTATTGGTTGAAATACTTCAGTTTTGAGTGCGTTAATTAATTTAAAATCATTTTCAATTTGCATGGTAAAAGTGACACTGGTAGGATAGATTGTACATAGAAAAATATCATATTTGCTTTTGCCATAATTAAAAAAGGCATATTTTGACCAGCAGAAAACAAACAGGAGAAGCATTTTACTATGAACTGGAAAGCTCATGTGAAATTGTAAAGTGTGTGCTTTGTGGTTCTGGTTATTAAAGCAATGAATTAATAGAGGCTCTTATGCATTCAACAAGCAGAACCTCCATTGCCACTCATACATGTGTCTTAACTCTCTTCTCTGTCTCTTAGCTCTCTTCTTGGCTTTTACCTGATCACTCGTTCGCTTATGTTGCTGACTGTCTCACACTACAAGACTTCTGAACTAACAGTCATTTTCAAGCCTTCTGTTATTGTCAATCACTCCAGAGCTTAACTGGAACACTGTTTGACTTGTTTCACTTCTGATTGTGAAGATTTGTTAGAAAGGGGCAAAACAGGGGTAAAATGAGGCTGTTATCTAGTGTACACCCAACTTAAGGCTGAGTAAGATTACAGGTGAAAAACTACACTCGATTTTTCCTTTGTCACATAAAGTAAATATGGTTTGAAATTGAACATGTATTAAATGTAGGTATTTTGAAAAATGAGTTGTGCTCTGCAATTTCTCATTAGGTTTAAAGGGATTTTGCCAACATTCTGTGAAGCTGTCCAAGCTCAGAACAGTTGCTATGTAAGAACATGAATGTTTGTGGGTGGAGTATGGTTAAGTCTGGTTTAAAGTCTTGTTTATGCTAAATCTTGTTTAAACATTTTTTTCCCCATGAAAGACAGAGCTCTGTTGTGATGGACGGTTTGTATCCTCTTAGCAGTGTAAGTTTGTGTGGGCTGAGAGCTTTTGCGTCTGTTTGCTCTTTTCCAGTCTTTCACAGACAGTTCCTGCAGCCTCAGTTTCTGAGTGACCTCTTCTGTCTCTCTTTCTCTCTCCTTACAGCTGGCCATGAAGCACAAGTGTTAAACTGTGCCAAATCTCGGAGCGTTCTGCCAAGGATGGCTGGCACATGTAAATTGGATGAATTTTAGATTTTATTCTTTTTTTTTTTTAAACCAAAAAAGATTTAATAAGATTAGTGTTATGAATTAACGCTGGTTTTAGTTTTTACATCCTCCTGACATTTCCAGAAGTGAAGTCAAAATGCTTGTGTAGGACAATTTGGCCCACTGACTGTGAGTGACAGCTTTAGGGCATTGTCTCGTTTCTGGCTCCTCTTGTCCAGTTCCTGGGCAGGGAAGAAGAGGAGAGCTTTCTGGGGGACTTGGATGCAGTACAAAACACAGGGACAAGGGGGTGCTGTTTTACAAATGGTTGGTTAAACTGAATACGCCCAGGAAAAAACAATTTGTTAGCCATGAACTTAAATTTCACTAACTGTATCCCTATAGATCTCATTATATACTGTATACCATTAAGAGTGTAGTATTTTTCAAAGCCGCTAGATTAGATTTCCATTTTGGAGAGGGCTGAAAGTTACTTGGGATTTATTTAACAGCATCACTACTTTCAGGACATCTAATATCTATAGAATCATTTCCCTAGATCTTCCTAATATATGCCAAACACGTACTGTGAGAATGTAGTGCTAATGGAATTGAGTATTTGGGTTTAAAAGTGCAGAGCTTTTCATAGATTTAATTAGAAAAAGTGTGCTTGCAGTGAAACTGAAACACGTTCAAATTATGTGGTTACATATAGTCATGTGCAAAAGTTTGAACACCCTATTAAATATCTTTCTGCTAATTTTAGTGCACAATTTCTATTTATTTGCTTAACAAGAAAAAACATAAAAGAAATTATAAAATGTGCCATAACTTTTGTACAGGCCACAATGTATTTTTTTTTTCCCTAATATGTTCAATTCAACAATTAAACAGTCATTGTGCAGTAAAATGAGCAGTTCTCTGTAGATATGTACCTATTTTCACTCAGAAAATCAACAAAACATGTCAACTTGCATATGACTGTATGTACACTGTAGCTTAAATGAGGCTTGTGTGCAGATCTCTCTCAAAACCAAAACTAAAAGCAAACAAAGCACTTTTTAACTGAAGTACAACTCTATTGTAAATAGAAAGCATTTGGGTTCAGTTTTATTTGGTCCCGATTTTAAACATGCAATAAGCAGATTGTCTTGTTTATACCTGATAAAGTAAAATGGAAGATTAGACAGGCTAATGTGGAAGGAATGGGCTGTTGTTTGGTGTTTATTTTACTACATTGGATGCATAGTTGAGATTACCTTGCTGAAAATATGAAAATAACACTTTCTGTATACTTTCTTTAAACCTAACACGTTTTCACAAAAGTTGCCATTCATGATAATTTAATTTACAACAGTCAGATGTAAGTATATTAGGTGGGAATATTTTAATAAATAACTTCTGTTACATACTAACCATGTCCACTGCCATTATATATGGGCTTTTAACAGTGTATGTGAGTTTCCTAATTCAGTAACAGTATTTGTCACCTGATTTTCTTGTATGAGTTCTCAAAGTTATTGTTTTTTTTTTATTTATTTTTGTTTTTGAAAATACTTCCACATTTTTAGATTTTGTATAACATATTTGTTAATGAACGCTTCATGGGCGAACTGTTGTCTTAGTGCCATTGTTTTTGTGGTGTTCAGATTGTTACCTGTAGCTCATTTTGTAATATCAGGCTTTATCAAAAACAGCTGCTGACCATTACCCTGTGTGTGTGTGTGCGCGTGTGCGTGTGCGTGTGAGTGTGAGTGTGAATGTGCATGTGTGTGTGAGCACACAGCTGATGATGTGCTGACATGTTTATCTTTTTGATCACCCTTCACTGAAAAGCTCTTGATCTAGTTCTTTATTTTAATAAAATATGAAACTGTTTTAAATGTACTGTTAACTAACATGTGCCATCATTTCATTAAACACTCAGCTTTCAACATTTCTGCATAGTTTGATCATTGAGATGTAAACGAAGATTTAGAGTGGTCTAATCTGAAAGGTTAGAGGAACTTACCGAGGTAGAAATGTTCACAGTGGTAGTGATAGGAACCAAACTTCTGAAGCATTTAATGCCGCTTTAAGCTAACTTACTGAAAGTTTTTCCACTTTTTACACGAGACCTTTTTAGGATACTTGATAAAGGTTTTGGCCTAAAACATATTTTTAAAAGACATGCGGGGTGGAGAGGTACATACAGGGTGTTGTAAGGAAAAAAGTCTGCAATGAAACCTAATTTTTTTGGATGTACCACTACTTAGCATTCTCTGCATTATATATAAGCAGATTAAAGAGGGCCACTGGTTGTATAGTAAATACAAACACTATATTTGTGTTATAGACATCCCAACCCCTGGTTCCTATTACTACTATTGTAAAGAGTCAGTACATTTTAATTTCTCTACAGTTCACATCAGACCACTCTAAATATTGTTGTTTATATCTAAATAACTGAATTATGCAGACAGAATAGATGGAGTTTCTCTTGTTTTCTCATCAACATTTTTACACAGATGACTTTAAGACATGCTTTACATATGTGCACTTGAAACCTTGTGTGAGTAACTGCTCAATATGTCAACTTTGCCACTGCTAATTCTCTAACATGGTGAATGTACTGTTTATTGTTCAGGTCAAAAATGTAACTTCCAGTAGGTTTGAGATTAACACTTTATAAATGTGTTTGTTATTGATCATGTACAGTAAAGTTTATCAATTCAACAGTTTACTGCTTTCCCTGCTTCAACACATCACAGTCTGCTGTTGCTGAGACTACCAGGCCCTTCATTACATTTACATTGGAAACACTGTGAAGTGCTTTGAGGTGCCATCCTGGACTGTAAAGCATAGTTATTTATGTATAAGGCTGCCTCTTCAGCTGCATTAGATTATTTTATACATTATTAATGACTTTATATAAGTTAAGCTGATATTTCAAAATTTGCAGTCTAAAAGTGTATTTATTTATAGTGCATCTGTCAAATATCTTATTATGAAAAGAGGATGAAGAACTTATAGTAAACATCTACATTTCCCACATTATTTGATATTTAAGACTATTAGCTGGCTGTTGTCCATTAGTTCTAACAAAATATTGCCTTTGTATAATTCCATGTTCTGTGGAATTATGTATTGCAAAATCTTTCTCTAAAGTAGCCCAGTTCATCTCTGTTACATTGTAATAAAGACTTGGTTCATATGGGTTTTTGTGTCAGATAAAAACTGTATTATAGTCAGATTACTATTAGTTACAGTTTAACTAATTCAATACAGAAGATGCTTGTGAGGTGTTCCAACAGCAGTTCTCAAGCTTTGTGGATAGTAAGTGTTACTGTGGAAGTGTCAGTCATTACTTTCACTTAATGAACGAGGACCAATGATTGGCATGTATTTTATTGATGTTGAACATCATTAAAATGAAATACATCCATTTTTTTAGATATGACTGAAGCAGATGACAAAATTAAAACATACTAAGTAGGAATACAACTTCTGAGATCCCTACACCCCTTCATCTTACATGAACATAACATTTATTAATAAACAATTATTGTGGTAAACAATACTATCGCCCTTTAGGGACAGCGTTTTGTGGTTCATGGTGCATATGAACACATGCTGTATGATTACTGTAAGGTCTTTTTTACCAATGTTCACTACATAGCCCTCCTTACAGAGAACAGCAGAACAGTCCAATGCAGAAGAAACGCCGCCCCCCCCATGTGTAAATCTGAAAAACGCTGGAGGACCTGGCTTATCAATGTCAAGTTTCATAGCTCCAGTGATTTGTTTTGCAGTTTAATCTAATAAATTGCTGTAATAAATGTCAGAGCCTATCGGCCATGTGTTTTTTGTCTTATCTGTCTTTATTTGCAGTGTGTATTGCTGTAGGTCCACCCCACTGTGTTGACATGACTTCCAAACTCTTCCTCAATTTTCTGTTCTTCAGCACACATTGGCGTCCAGGCCTTTTGTTGCACTATTAAGGACTTTTTTATGAATGTGAGCTGAAGAACTGTCGATTCAGGAAATTGAAATGAAGTGCAGCCTTAAAGGAATAGTTCAGAAAAGAATTTACACTAACTATTTTTCACTTACCCCAGATGTAGTTGATCAGCCGAGGCACTTTGTATACAAATTTTCCTTCTCTAGTGTTGCATTGAAACTACAAGGCTAACGTTGCTAACAAACACAAGAAGTCAGTAAACACCTACATTTTTTATGTAAATACCTCCCCAAAACCCTCTCAACCCTCATCCAGGTCTATATTAAGGTCATGCAGACTTACCAATGTGATGCAGCCATTTTAGACAGCTGTTTATGGTGCTGGTGCTACAAAGCTACTGTTGCTAAAAACACTAGTGGTTAACAGACACTTAGAAACAAGAAATGGCTGCTTCTGATGTTCTACACAGTGAAGTGTTGTTAATGTTATATTGCGCAGTAAGTCATACTGTGTCCTAAATGGACATGTCAGCATGACCTTAATGAAGGCCTGGGTGCAGTTTGAGAGGTTTGAGGATGTATTTACAGAAAAGACTTGGGTGTCTGATGACTGTCTGTGTTAGTTAGCAATGTTAGCTTTGTATCTCCAGTGCTGACCTAACAAGCAAAATTGGAAGAAGTGAATCGACTACGTCTAGGGTCAGTGGAGAATTGTGATAATGTAAATTTTCGCCAAACTTTTTTTACCATAAATATAATAATATATGCAAATGATGATTAATAACATATAAACATATTTATATACATATACACCTGTAATGTATAATAGAATGTAAAAACTGTAAAAAATATCTTAGATTATTAGCATAAATATATTACTTCAGTAAAGAAATTACTCCAGAAAAATACTCAAAAATAAGCAGACTGAGTCTGAGTGGCTAATAAACAATCTAATCTGAACTGTGCTATTCTGCTTATTACTTCACTTAAACTAACTGTTTTGTTCATGCTTTTATTAGTATTATATTTGGGCTCTTTTTGTTCTCATTTGTACTTTCTGTGTGTTTTCAGGGTTTATCTGTATATTAATAAATATGAAAAATTAAAATATACTGAGCTGGCTTAGGTTTCTTTTCTAGTATGCATCTTCTACAGGGAAAATCTTTTAATACACAATTACTGTTTCTTTGCTGAACTTAATATAGTGGAAAAAAATGAAAACATAAAATGTGACCCCTGCAAAAGTTATGGCACTGTTTATAATTTATGTTTTATTTTTTTCCAATATGTTAAACTCAACAAATAAACAGGAATTGCACACTAAAACATGCAGAAAAGTATGTTTTATATTTATATTTAAGCTTGTTCCCTGTAGAGAATGTGTTCACTTATTTTCACTTAGAAAACCAACAAAACATGTAATTTGGCTGGGAATGATTGAACTTTTGCATACAACTGTAAGACAGCGTGAGTTGTCAGTGTTGCAGTGCTGGAATCACACTGTGAAGCTTTCAGCAGATGGGTGTGTGCATCTGTGTTATCTCTGTGGGCTCTCCCAATCTAACAGCAATTTAATGCAGTATTTAATGACGCAGTCAGTGTGACAGCTACGAACGGGGGAGTGTGTCTGGTAATGATGGTAAAATCTATGATCTAACTGCAGCACTCAGGTGGATAAATAACTGCCTCGTAAAACACCTCAGGCATGGCAGTGCTCTGTCATAACTCACCACCTAGCAAGGACTGAATCTCTCTCTCTCTCTGTCTCTCTCTCTCTCTCTCTCTCTCTCTCTCTCTCTCTCTCTCTCTCTCTCTCTCTCTGTCTATCTCTGTGTCTGCCCCACCTGCCCTCCACCCTTCGTGCAGTGCTGTATATTTTTAGTATAATCACAGTGGTGTGTGTATAGTCCTATATAAAAGACGTTACACCCTCGTCCAGTCTGTTGGGTGTGTCCAGTGATAGTGCTGTGCTGTGACCGCAGGCTGCCACCAGACGGAGGCAGAGTTCCAGGAAGTTGTGGTAGCTCATTTACTGGAAGTGAATGATGGCAGCAGAAGACTCCTGGGTCTGCAGTCTGTTTAAACAGCAAAGCAGAACACAGCTTTAAATAAATCATTGGTTTTGAAGGAATTTGTTAATTGTCACAGCTTTGTTCCTCCCTCTGTTCCAGTGCAGCAATGCCTTTCCCACTCTCTCCCCACTCTCTCCTCACTCTCTCCTCACTTACCCAAAACCCAGTCACAGAAGCAGTGACGCTTAACACAGACATATTTCTTGCAAGTTACCATACAGGCAGGGCTGTATGTAAACTTTTTCAGCAGGTAGTACTGGTGCAAGAAGTTGTTGTAGCATAAATTAAAATGTATTAGCACTGAGATAAAAATGACTTAATACTTGTGAAAAGTAATCCCGATAAGAGGAAAAATTTGCTGTTTAATCTGTGGGGAAACAAGCAGAAGCAGCATGTATGTGTGAATTTTAATGTACAGAAAATGAGTTTTCTCCACAGTAATTGAAATTCTCCACAAGGGGGCACTATTGGCACTCAAGTCCTCTTCTTGTGCGTCATTGAGAGAGAGGAAACCCCCCCAACAGCAGGAGCCCATGACTGCATGTAGGTTTGTAGTCACAAATTTCTAAACGGTAAGCAAAATACTCTACTACCTAAAGGGGAGGCTCAGTGTTATTTCATGTGTGATGATGATTAATTTAAACAGTTCTAAAAAGGGAGGCAGTATCCTGGGGGTGCCTAAGCTTCTGAATCCAGAGACATTTTTTGGAAAACGTTTTTATTTTTTCTGCAGGCAAGTGGTACACTCCAGCAATTGTTCCTTTAGCTACATATGAAATTACAGCCTCAAACTGTACGACATTTAGGCGTTATGTACTTCACGAGGCCCCCTTTTTGAAGAAATGTTTGGATTCATTCTATAGCATTCAAATTACCTGATAGACTACAACTATAAACTTGGGCAGTGGGATAGTGTTCAATATTGCACACACTGTGTAGAGAGAATAACTCATGAGTAATTGACTACAGGTTACATTAGCATCCATGTAGCACTGATAAAGTGGCTACTTGGATGGTGTACAGTACACAAAGCTCTTTTGCATGTGTGCAACTGTGATCTTGTTTGTATTCACACAGGATTCATTTCTCCTATGCTGTTGGTTGTATGTGTAGGCCTTACCCCAGTTAAGACATGCTTGCTTCTTCAGTTTTGCAATGCAGCCAAGGATAAAAATGGACAACAGTACTTTGCCTGAATAAAATTAATTTTGGCCTTCCTTTTGTCATTTTTATAGCCAACAGTACATCATACAGAGTCAGAAACCACATCAGTAGGTCATGGTTTAAGACAAGTGTGGGATGATTTAAGCATGCAGTATGCTCAGTGCTAATGGGTGAGCTATAAGTGTTCATTACTTGTTAGCTGGCTTTACAGCTTCAGTGCAAAACCAAAGAAGCCAACATGTCTGGCTGAATGGCCAGTTTTGTAAATGTGAATTGAAGAGTTTTGGTTCAAAATGCATCATAGATCACTTGGGTTTTTTGTTTTTGTTTTTTTTTCCTCATGAATTACATTGTTGGAAGTGGGATTTATCTTATACATATGAGAAATATCAGTGCTATAATATGAGTAATACCACCTTTATTAGAGAAATGTATTTTCCAGTATACATCAGCTATTATTCTTTAACTCGTTATATCCAAAATTGTTACAAATGAACACGCAGCATTTTTCACTGTCTATCACTTTAAGTGCACTGAACACATTG